TGTAAGACTGAGGTCAGGAGGAACTTCTTCACCCAAAGGGTTGTGAATCTGTGGAATTCCCTGCCCAGTGAAGTGGTTGAAGCTATCCCGCTGAATGTTTTTAAGGCAAGGCTAGATAAATTTTTGAACAGTAAAGGAATTAAGGGTTATGGTGAGTGGGCGGGTAAGTGGAGCTGAGTCTCAAAAAGATCAGCCATGATCTTATTAAATGGCGGGGCAGGCTCGAGGGGCCAGATGGCCTACTCCTGCACCTAGTTCTTATGTTCTTATGTTCTTTGCTTGTTTAACTGCTCTTCTCTTTCTTTGGGCTCTATTCCCCACGTATTGTTTACTCCTTAACCCTTATCTCCGCCCTACCTTCTGCATATAAACTGAGATTTTCCTAGCTACCATCAGTTCTGAGGAAGGGTCATTCAACCTGAAACGTTAACTCTGATTTCTCTCCACAGATGTTGCCAGACCAGCTGAGCTTTGCCAGCAATTGTTTCAAATCTTTCATGATCGAGCAGCAGTCTTGACCCAAGAATAAACATAGTGAACTTCTGTTTCACCGTGTAAGGCAAATATCCTTCCACAAATTAAAAGATTACTATGGTACGCTGTACTCAAAGTGTAACTTCAGCAAAACCCTATTTAATTGGAGTAAATCTTCCTTACAACAATATTCCAACATCTTTGCAATTCAGGCTAACATATCATTTGCCTACCTCATTGCTTGCTGCACCAGTATATTACATTTCTGAGATTTGTATACAAGTGTGTCCAAGACTCTTTCAAACCCAATATTTGCTACTCTCTCATCTTTCAGAAATTGCTCTGTTTCTCATCTGTCCTATCAAAGTGGCTAATCCTGTCGTTACGGTTGAGTTAGGAAGGGTGAACTGATTCCTTTTCTTGTCTATGCTTCAACTGGCCACAACAAAGATGGAATTTAAAAGGGCAGGTGATGTGCATATCACATTGTACATAAAAACAAAAACAGAAATTACTGGAAAAACTCAGCAGGTCAGGCAGCATCTGATAGAGAGAGTATAGTTAACATTTCAGGTCCAGTGAAGCTTCTTCAGAACCAATGGTAGCTAGGAAAAAGTTGATATTTATGCAGAAGATGGAGTGGGGGTGAGGGTGGAAAAGTAAGTGATAGGTGGAGATAGAACACAAAGAAAGAGAAAAACAGTTGGACAGACAGAGGAGTGGGGAGTGTCAGTCTGGGGAAATAAATAACTGCTAATACAGGCTATTAGTAGCTGACAATGGGTTGTGTATGGTAGCAGCCCATGTGATGTCAAAGGCTGGTGTTGTAGGGATTGAGGCAAGGACATGGGAGAAGGTGCCTCAAGCCCTAAAATTGTTGAACTCGATATCAAGTCCAGGGGGCTGCAGAGTTCACAAGTAGAAAATGAGATGCTGTTCTTCCAGCTTGCACTGAGCTTCGCTGGAGCATTTTCCACTCTATTTCCCCGCCTAGCTTTGAATCTTCAGGAAATTTGTATATATTACGCTCAGTCTCTTTATCTAAGCCATTAATATGGATTATAAATAGCTGAGACCCAGTCACTAATCCTGTCACTGTGCATGAGAATGTTAATATAGAGGTCATCCCTACTAAATCTTACCTCTGAAAAAGAACCCAGTTGTCTATAATATTTAGTCTCTCATCGAAGTATCTGAGTTAGAAGCTGAGTCATTTTTTTCCTGTGTTGTTGTTCTTGTGATGGGGTTGCCATTGACTAAGCCAGCATTTATTGCTCAGCCCTAAGAGTCAATCATATTGCTATGGATCTGGACTCATATGTAGGCCACCCCTTGGCCCATTTCCTTCCCTGAATGAACCAGATGAGATTTTTTTTATGACAATTGACAGCAGTTACATGATTACTATTAGGCCAGATTTTTATTCTTTATTTTCTTTTCTGTTACGTTCCAGTTTCACCATCTGCTGTGGTAGGATTTGAATAGATGGCCCTAGAATGGCCCGTGGACTTGATTACTAGTCCAGTGACATTACCACTACACAATCATCTCCCTATGATTCTGTAGTCCTGGAGTGTCAGAAACAACAAACTTTACATTCTTTTAGTGTTTGAAACAACTTTCTGCAGTTGTCCTGCAAGGATTTTTTTAAAAAGAGTATAAACAGCAAATATACAGCAAAGCAGGACTTCTGTCTGAAGACCTTGTGCCAAATCATAGGGTTGACAGTACATGCACAACAGAGAATCTGAAACAGCCATCAGGAAATTCTGAGGGTGGAGGTGAGCTGAAGATCTACCACAGCAAATCAGGTTTCATGAAAACTCTTAAAGATTACAATATTTGCAAGAAAATGTTTATCTCATTTCTACAATAATATTTGCAATGTTTGAAGTGCTGATAAATATATCTTCCATCAAAGGCCCGTGCCTTCCTGCAAAGCCTGAGGTTCAAATTTTCCCTAAAAACTGAAAGAACTGCAGATGCTGTAAATCAGAAACTAAAACAGAAGTAAGACCATAAGACATAGGAGCAGAAATTAGGCCATTCGGCTCATCGAGTCTGCTCCACCATTCAATCATGGCTGATAAGTTCCTCAATCCAATTCTCCTGCTTTCTCCCCATAACCCTTGATAATCAAGAACCTTTCTATCTCAGTCTTATATGTACTCAATGACCTGGCCTCCACAGCCTGGAAAAGCTCAGCAGGTCTGGCAGCATTTGTGAAGAGAAATCAAGAGTTAATGTTTCAGGTCAGGATTGATGAGGGCAGAGCAGTGGACATGACCTATATGGGCTTCAGTAAGGCATTCGATAAGGTCCCTCATGGCAGACTGGTTAGCAAGGTTAGATCACATGGAATACAGGGAGAACTAGCCATTTGAATATAGAACTGGCTTGAAGCTAGAAGACAGAGGGTGGTGGTGGTGGAGGGTTGCTTTTCAGATTGGAGTCATGTGACCAGCAATGTACCACAAGGATCAGTGCTGGGTCCACTGCTTTTCCCATTTAGATAAATGATTTGGATGTGAACAGAGGAGGTATGGTTAGTAAGTTTGCAGATGACACCAAAATAGCAGGTACAGTGGACAGTGAAGAAGGTTACTTCAGAATGCAACGGGCCCTTCGTCAGAAGGGCCATTGGGCCGAGGAGTGGCAGAGTGAGTTTAATCTAGATAAATGTGAAGTGCTGCATTTTGTAAAGGCAAATCAGGGCAGGACTTAATGGTAAGGTCCTGGAGAATGTTGCTAAATAAAGAGACCTTGAAGTGGGAGGTTCATAGTTCCTTGAAGGTGGAGTCACAGGTAGATAGGATAGTGAAGGCAGTGTTTGGTACACTTGCCTTTATTGGTCAGTTCATTGAGTATAGGAATTGGGAGGTCATGTTCGGGTTATACAGGACATTGGTTAGGCCACTTTTGGAATATTGCATTCAGTTCTGGTCTCCCTACTACAGGAAGGATGTTGTAAAACTTGAAAGGGTTCAGAAAAGATGTATAAGGATCTTGCCAGGATTGGAGCTATAGATAGAGCCTGAATAGGCTGGGACTATTTTCCCTGGAGTGTCGGAGGCTGCGGATGACCTTATGGAGGTTCATAAAATCAGGAGGGGCATGGATAGGGAAAATAGTCAAGTCTTTCCCCCGGGGTGGGGGTGTCCAAAACTAGAGGGCATGAGAGGGGAAAAATTTAACAGGGACCTAAGTTGCAACTTTTTCACACAGAGACTGGTGCATGGATGGAATGAGCTGCCAGAGGAAGTGGAAGAGGCTGGTACTATTACAACATTTAAAAGGCAATTGGATGGGTATATGAAAAGGAAGGATTTAGAGGGATATGGACCAAATGCTGGCAAATGGGACCAGATTAACTTAGGATATCTGGTTGGCATGCATGAGTTGGACCGAAGGATCTGTTAGCATGCTGTACAGCTCTATGACTCTATGACTATATAGCACTGGTTAAATAATAGTGCTAACGTGTGCATTAGCACAGCTTAAAATAATCAGTTGAGTTTGTAAAATAGCTGATTTGTGCTGTGATAAATGACATGCATTCACATGCAGGAACCCATACATTACAAAAAAAGGAATATCTTCAAATCTTATGTAATATTGGGGAGCCCATGTAGCTCTTCATTGCTTTCTCCAGGGCAATGCCTCAAGCAATCAAAGTCAACTTGCCAATTATTTAGCATCTTTTCTCTTGTATAATTGTACGGTTATTTGAAATTTGGCATTATTTTTGTCCTGATTTACAAGATGAAAAGCTTAAGCAAACTCTTTTTTCAGCAATTTTCCTTCTTGCCCACTGTAACAAAAACTGACAGTTCTTACCCAGATTTAGATGGACTGTACTGTTTAATTTACCCTCAATACATGAGAACTGGCTCTTGACTTTGTGAGGTGGTACAAAATGACTCCATCGTTTATTTTTGTTTATACTATATTCAGAAAAGTATAAAAATAGACAACTTGAAAAAGACAGAAACACAAAATATCAGGATAATTAGCAATATAACAGTAAGCTCCCTATTTATCTTCATTTGGTATTTTTAAAGTGTCTCATGTTGCTCTTCTTCAAAACTGGTCCGATAGGAGAATAAAAATTATATTTTGTGACAATAGATTTGGTTGCTTTCTACTCAGAACTCAGTCACAACAGGAGACTGCCAGAGGAACAGATGGAAACACTTTAGGGAGGTCCTCTAAGCATCTATAACGAGAGGGAGCCTCTGCAGCAACTCATGGCATGACCAAAGGGGAAAATTTATTTTAGAAGGCATCAAACAGATTGAAGGACTTAAATGGGAGCACAACCTCTATTCTAGGTGCCTGCCCTTCAAGTCCAATTTGCCCTTCATGTGGCAGAGTCTTGAGATTGTCCATTGGACTCATCAGCCATCTCAGAACTCACTCAACCAGAATAGGATAAACAAGTCATCTCTGAGCCCGCAGGTATTGGCTGGCAAACGAAGAAATGGAAACAAAATTGTAAACGTAACTGAAAACACTTTACACCTTACTGGGTGAAAGTTGGGGAATGTTTATTTTGAATGTGTCTGTTACTGTCATTGTGTCACGTTGAGGAGGAGAGGCAGCGAAATGCGTTAAGTTCCCACACGACGTTTGTCGCTCTGCGCGCACCGTCCCGCCGCGACTCAACGTGGCCTCCGTGGTCCTGCCCCAACCCGCCGCAACGATTCGTCCATCGGGGCGCACTCTCGGCAACGATTGGTGAATTGAGCTGTCAGTCGGAGGCCGGTCCCGGAGTTGGGGGAGGGGAGAAGGAGAGCGCCATCCGGAAGCCGCGGGTGAAGCGGCCATTGTGCGGAGGGAGCGGAGTCTGAGCCCGAGTCGGCGGGGGGAGAGCTGCGGCACCGTTTCTAACGGTGATCGAGGGACGGCGCGGGCGCACAATTGATAAACCACCTTCGTTTTTTTTTAAAAAACAAGTTTCACCCACTTTCCTTTTGAAAAAAGATAGTAAAGGTTCACACAGACACAAATGTCAGACTTTGACGAATTCGAGAAACAGTTGCACGAGAACCGACAAGGTGAGCAGGGCCTACCGGACCAGGCTTTTTCTGGGGTTTTTTTTACATAAAGGATTCCGGGGCTTCCCCGTCATCCCACCCCGTCGGCCTTGCTGCGGCCTCGAGTCAAAACCGTCCGTGTTTCCAGGAGTTAATTTAAAACTGGTTTCCCAGTCACCGAATGAGCGGCGGGAGAGTGCACTGCGCAAGCTCAGTGTCAACTTGGCCAACCCTGGTGACAGGAAGAAGGCCATTCAGCCCCTCTGTATTCTGCACTCCCTTTTCCCCTCCCCCCACCTTCACGGAGTCCGATTCCACATTCAGCCCATGTGGAGACTTGGGCCTTCCCTCCTCTCGCTCAGCTCCTCTGCACACTGCCTCTTCCCCTCATTCAGCCCCTCTACCCAATGCCCTCTATATTTTGACCCCCCTTTGCCCCCACCCACTCATTAGTAACATAAAAGGGAATCCAGAAGTCTGCTGTAGGAATATAAATGGCAAAATGGTAAGAGAAGGAAGGATCGTGCCTTTTCGGAACCAAAGGGAGATCTACCCAGGGCAAACAGTCCACCTTGGTACAAAACGAGTACTTGTATCTGTTTTCCCCGAAATCTTATATGTTTGGGTGCCTGAGATAACAAGGTGTAGAGCTGGATGAACACAGGCCAAGCAGTATCAGAGGAGCAGGAAGGCGTACGTTTCGGGCCAAACCTTGTATGTTTGGGTGCCTACAGTTTTAGGGGAGTTCTGAAGTAATGACATGTGGATTTGTCTATATGTTTTTACTTTCAAATATTTTTAACCTTGTGCCTTTTCAATTTCATTGAAGTGTTTGATTTAAATGTATTAAATTGAATTATGTTTCTTTTGGTCAAATGTATAAAATTGACAAACAAGTGTAATCAATAAGTTAATCTATTCCATAGAGATGCTGATTTATGAATGTCCAACTTACAAACGTTTGTACTTATGAATGCAATCCCATACAGGGGTATAATTTAAAATATCCAACATAAGTACAAGAAATTTATTATTTCTTGTACTTATTATGCTGCTTTATTGTCCTGCATTGTGTTCCAACTTGTGTACAAATTAAACTCAGGAACCGAACCTGTCCGCAACCTGGGATCTGCCTGTATGTACTTTTCTAATTGTGTGAAGACCAAAATTTTCTGAATGTATTTGTCTATGAATGTTTCAGCATTTGCTGTTTTGAGATTTTTTTAACAATCAATATGTTAGTATTTGGTAGAGCCACTTTTTCTTAACTGTGTTTCATACAACTGGTTAGAACTTGCTGTTGCTTCCTGCTGTTTGAATAGCTGAAAAATGCAAACAGGTGCTAAAATCCAGTAAGAGGCTGCAGTTGGATCCTTTGAACCATTCAGTTTTTACCAACTTGAGCATTTTATGAATTATGTACATACTCTGTAGAGCAGTACAAGATGAAGTTAATTGCCTGAAGAAATTGCTAACCCTTAAAAAATTATATTTAGGATTTTTCTCCAAGTTTCACTCAGTCCTTCCTATATTAAGCAGAAATTTGAATTTTACTTGATTATACGTATTAGCCAACTCTGATTTCAGTTACTGTATATGACATTATAGATTATACTATTTAGTCTCATCTCACTTGAAAAACTCTTATTTCTTATACGTATATTGAAACTCAACATTGTTGCATACCCTTGAGAATGTTGTTTTGATCAGATTTTTAAGTAGGTAGGGAATTGGAATTATTGTTGGGTAAATTTGTCACACAGATTTAGTACCCCTGGAAACATTGGTGCTATCCTGTCTTTTGAATATTTATGATAGAGTTATGTGGGATTTACAATTTGGTGACTTTTTTACTGTTAGCGTGAATCTGTGAACTAGCCGTTTTAAGTACGAGTTTTATTTGTCACTCATTCTGTTCAGATATAGTTTTGGATTTTTTTTAAAGCATACATTTCTCAAAAATATTCAGTGGTGGGATGTGAACAGTTAGGGTAGCATTTATTGCCCATGGTCATGAGCTGCTTTCTTGGACTGCTATGGCCTATGTCAGGTAGATACACTCAGTGCTGGTGGAAGTGAATTCCAGGACTTAACCCAGCAGAAATGAAAGAAAAGCATTATAGGTCTAAGTCAGGATAGTGAGAGACTTGCAAGGAAACTTACTGATTGAAGTCTTCCCAGGCATCTGCTTCCTTTGTCCTTGTAAGTGTTAGAATTTGAGAATGTGGAAGGTGCTGTCAAGGGAAACTTGGTGAATAGTTGCAGTGCATCTTGTAGATGGAACCTGCTGCAGCCGCTGTGTAATGGTGGAAGGATTGAAGTGGCCTGTTCTGTCCTGAACAGTGTTGGGCTTCTTGTGTTGGAACTGTATGCGTGCAGGCAATGAAAAGTATTCCATCACACACCTGGCTTACATGGCAATCAGGCTTCGGAGAGTGTGAATGTGAATTACTCATTGAAATTCTCAGCCTTTGACCTTCTATCGTAGCCACAATATTTACTGGATGGTCTATGGTTTAGTTTCTGGTTAGTGATGAACCCTAAGATGTTGATAGTGGGGGTTCAGCAATAGTAATGCCATTGAATGCCAAGGGGGACGATGAGTAGATCTCTGTTGTTGGAGATGGCCATAATTGTAGATATTCTTTCACTGATATTGAGCTAACATAGGAGAAACCCAACAGGCAGTCCGAAGAAATATGAGAACTACATAACAGTATTTTATGTCTAATTTGAGGCACATTCCCGCTACAAATAATTGAGAATTAATTATTAAGGCATATGTAAAGATAGCAACCAAACAATATAACTGTTTTGAACCAAAGGCTCTCTTGTGAAAAACTTAGCATTAAATCACAAAGTAAGTTAAATATTTAACATTAATAAGATTTGCAGTCCCGCCACTTTATTGTCAAAAAGTTATTTTCATCTTATTAGCGGGGTTCAGAGTTTGTGTAGATTGGAGATAAGACCACAGATATTAGTGATTTCAGTAACTTACTTAATGGGCACAAGCAGAATTGAAAGTGACACAAGTTAAAATGTAAATTTTGAGTATTCATGTAGGGCTCCAAATTTCAGATACAAACAAAAGCAGAAATTGCTGGTGAAATTCAATATGTCTGGCAGCATCTGTGAGGAGACAGCAGAGTTAACATTTCGAGTCCAGAGACTCCATCACCAGACTCAAAACGTTACCTCTACTTTCTTCCCCACAGGTCCTGCTGGACCTGCTGATTTTCACCAGCAGTTTCTGTTTTTGTTTCAGATCTCCGTCCACAGTTCTTTGTTTTATCCAGATTTCAGATGACTGTTTACAGTTGTTCATGTTGCATAGAATCGTAGGGCTGCACACAGCTATAGAAGCCAGAGTCCTTTTTAGAAAGTGAACCGACAGAAGTCTAGCATACCGCAGCAGTTGCAAGGGCATTGACATTTCATTCTCTTGATGTTTTTCTCGCGCCCCCCCCCCCCCCCCAAAAAAAGCAAAAACTCTGGCCTCTGCGTGGCAATGTAATGGGGATCAGGTGACTGTAAAGGCAAGAAATACCATGAATGAAGACTAGATATTCTACATTGTTGCTATTGCACAGAACAGCAATAGCAATGCTCATTATTACCAATGTCATCAAGGCTACAAAAACCCTGAATATTGGTATTCCAAAGGGAAGACTTGAATATTATCATCCAACTGGTTGCATCTTTGTCAATTTGCAAGTTTTTAGTTTATAACTAATGAATTGCACAATTTACAGTACCAAAGCAGATTGGGTGGCTCTCCAAGTCAACCAGTGCTTTTTATATACATAGCCATCTGGTCCCTTCCCACTTTTGTAACATTCTTAGTTTCAGTGGCTGGTACCATAGAATTGTACCTCCTAACCACTGTAGAAAGGAATGTCATCTTCAATTTTCTGACTCCTTTGTGATTAGATATGTTTTTACATGAATAATGTAAATAATTTTAGAGTTTGGATTTTAAGATAGTGACAATATAGGAATAGTTACTTTTGTGAAGGGTTTTATGGACAGGGTGCGGGGGTTGGGAAGAAACTCGTCTGACAGCCCCTCCTCCGCAGTGACTTATGTCAGAGCAGAGACCCCCTGGAGTGTTACTGGAAATTGTTTTTACAATGAATGTAAGTGTTTAAGGCTATTAGCATGTTAATGGATAATCGAGGATTAATTTTAGCTTGAGAAATTCAAACATTGAAAAACGTAGGGTAGTTTAGAGAAGCCTGACTGGGGTCAGAAGCAAATATAGTTTCTCTCCTAGAAAGAGTACAGGATGGTTCAGGGAAAGCAGTTACCCCAGTAGATAAGAGATAGTAGGTCTAGGCCCGAAACGTCAGCCTCTCTGCTCCTATGATGCTGCTTGGCCTGCTGTGTTCATCCAGCCCTGCACCTTGTTACCCCAGTAGATAAGTTTTGTTTGCAAAACATCCAAACCAGGAATGCTTGGTTAGAAAACTGCCCTATTAGAAGCAGAGAAATTCTAAGCCCTCAATTTGAAATATGTTCAGTGAAGACTTAATAGTTCACAGGAAAGAACTGGGAAAAATCAGTTAATTTGATGTAGAAGATAACTTTTCTGAATTTGGTTCATTGTAAAGTGATGATGTTAGGGAATAGATTTGTTTTGCTGTGTGTTTTAAGATTTCTTGAGCTGTTTGATATTTAGGTTGCTTGGTTTTTCTAAGTAAACTTGTTAAAGAATATCTGCAATCTTGTGTGACTGTTTTGTTGAACAACCATCACTTCTACTAAACTAAAGGAAATGATCTATCAGACTAGGTTTCATTCAGGGATATAACTTGTCCAGTAGTAATATCAGTTAGATTAATAATGCATTCTTCAAAAATACTGAAGGGTGACCTCCATTGAGCTCCTCAAAATCTATTAAAAGTTTTGATATGTAGATAGTGTGTGTTCATTTGTGGGGACAGACATAACTAGAAGTTATCAGTACAAATGGTGAACAAGAAATCCAATGGGAAAATTCGGAAGCAACAGTTTTACCC